ACCTTTCATTGTTGATGTTCGATATGGAGAGGAAAGGAAGAATTGATAGGCACAGTACTGCAAAGGAAGAATGAAAAAAATGATTCGATTCAATCGTGTCTCATATGCTGCGTACGTACACATATACTGACAGACACTGACGCATTTCTCCTCTTGCCTCATCAAATCCAATAAGTGAGGTGTTTAGGCTTTTAATTCCAAAAGAAAGAAACAATTCTCTTCTTCCTCTTTTAGTATTAATAAAGTACAGTTGTGGTCGGAGCATAATTGGTTTTTCATTTGGAAAGAGAAATCATTGAAAATGATGTTCATTCTTTTGCTTTACATTCAGTCAATGCTCCTAATCTCGACTTCGACGACACAAGGTGCATATGTGCATCAACGGAAAAAGATGGAGCCAAGACAACCTTCCCAAACCCTTTACAGTAATTTTCATCGTGAAGCATATGATTTTCAATCTCTAGAGGAATCAAAACTACATCAAAAAGATTTTGAAGACAACAGAAGAACAAGTAAAGAAACAAAGAATTTTGGACCTTCAGTTGGGGCACAGTACCATCTTCAAAAGAAAATACCGGTTCTTGGAAACCAAACCTTTCAATTGAGAATTCTACAAGAAAATTTGGCAGAGCTGATCATAAATGGAGTCTTGGAGGTGAAAGATATAGTACATTACACAGTAGATGAAGATGGAGAACTTTCCTTCACTTTATCAGAGAAAACAAACATGATTTTGAAAAGATTTCGGACGAAACTATTAGCAGCTACATACTGTCCAAAGACAGATAGGTCTTCTATAATTGTACAACCACCTTTGCCTATGAAATTGAGTTTGCATTTGAAGAGATTGCTTTGAATCAACGGCACACAAATAAACAATTAACATTAATCGTTGCAGTCGTCATTTCTTTTGCAGTACTTGAATATTTCCGCAAGTGGCTAAAATAGTGTATTTTTTAATCGGGTCATTTTATTTTTTCGCCATTCGGTCCTGTCAAATGGTATTTACGAGTATGTACATACTACTAAAATAGCAGGAGGGAGGGAAGTTAGGAAAGCATTTTCTTCTTACGTTTTTCGTCGTCAGTCGTCAGCAGTACTGCCTCTATTGATCATCATTCTTGGAACTCTTCTAATAAGCAAGGAAGCAAACGCACCAAGTCCAAAACAAAAGCAACGAGCTTTCTTTCGATTCTCTTTTTGATTTCAGTCCAGCCTCGCTATTTCTTAGTATCACAGATTCGATTCAATCAAAGTATGGCAAAGAAAAACTCTCTTCTTAAGTTCAACAGCTTCTTACCAATACTTGGAACGCTCATAATTCTTGGAAGCATAGTTCTAAAACATGAAATCATTTTTCGATGGACAAGCAACGCTAGTGTACTAATAAGGGTATACTTTACTGTATTATTTACAATTGGAATGGAGTATGTTGCAAGATACGAGCACAAATATCTATGGCACTCTCGATTCTTATGGTTCATCCATGCATCACATCACCATCAAAAAACGAAATTTCTTGCAGGTCCATCTAAAAACGATGCAGAGTGCAATACGTTTGTAAGTGAGCAAAAGATGGAGTTGAATGATATCTTTCCAGTAATATTTGCATCGATTGCAACATTTGTGTTGTGGAAGTGTTCGGAACCTTCAAGTATGCTCCATGACATTTGCTTTGGGTCAGCATGTGGGATATCTATTTACGGAACGTCGTACTTTATCGGACATGATTTGTGTGCTCACGAACGATGTGGAGAAGGAGTTGCAAAGTTTCTAAAGCAGCAGTTTCCTACCATGGCTCATTGCGCTGAAATCCATTCGAGGTATCATCATAGAATCAAAAAAGACATTTCGAACGAGGATGATCCATACGGTGAACCTTATGGATTTTGGTTGGGACCTCAAGAAGTAAAGTATAGCAAAGAAACTGGGAGAGAACTTGGAATGCCCACAGTATTGAAAAGCTGCTTTCATTTTGGTGGACTTTTTACTTTATGGGCTATTTTTAGATGAATTTTGAGAAAGACCATTGCGGTACAAATTTTCATTGCTTTGGCTCTATCTACTAGACTATCAAAAGAGCTAGAACTTTTTCTATTTGTAGAAAATGAAAATAGGAGAAACATTTCTCCATGTTATTCTATCCATATATAAGTCAACCCCTTACCCTTTCTATAACAAAGCTTTACCTGTTTGCCTTTATTCCCAGTATTTTCAAAGAATTCCAACAATCCCCTTCGTTTCTTCCAGTCTTTGGACTTGTTTCCAAATGTCTTTGCTTGCTTTTCAACATGAACAAGGTGTGATTTCAAATCACCAATTTTACGTTCACCAACGATTGCTCCCAATTGTTGCAGACTCATTTCTTTACTTTGTGCATTAGATAATGCTTTCCATATTCGTACTCGAATTGTATCTTGTGGCTCTTTAGGATGGTTACTTTTGTCGGATTGACTTTCATTATTCGTTGCTGGTTGGCTTTGCTGTTCTTCTGCTGTTTGAGATTGCTTCATCGATCTTTGTTTGGATCCTTTCTTTGCTTCCAAGGCAAAAGAAAAGTCAGTTGTAGAAGCATATGAATATATACCGCCATCTCCAAATCTGCTTGATATCAGGGCTATTTCATTACTAGATTGGAGAAAGGTTATGGTGCTGCCCTGTCGCAAATTATGAGTTGAAAAGGCGTTGACTACTATTCCAACGATGCTGATTGCCCCGAATAGGTATTCTCCAAACCGTGCTCTCATCCTTATACGCTTCAAGTGGCTATGGAGTAATGTGCATTGTAATCATATATTGAATGCTTGCTACAAGAATGAACATATTGGAATAAATACAATAATACTGCAGTAAACGAAAACAGAAAGATACGAAGATACGATTTACGATTATCGGTCGAAGGACGGACATGAAAGGTCTTATTTCTCCTGGTGGCTATTTGTACTATTTTCAATATATGGCTACTCTTCAGCATTGGCCAATAAAACAACAACGACGACTCGACTCCACATCCGACGTCGACTCCTCTCAGTATGTCATACCGTAGTTAGCTTGTGTGTATCTTCCTTATTGATCTTCGGTATCACCTATCCTTTACTGATTCTAGCACAGCGGCTATTCTCTAAACAAAATTGAAAGTGTGTTGGAGAAATTGCTTCAAAAACTAATTGGTGCTTTGTATTAATATGAACCCAACACTGATTGCTCCAGTAATTGCCATATCTACATTGTCTTCACTTTTGCAGTACCATGAGATCCGAAATAGATCAGCAAAGAAAGAATCTTCAAAGACAATTGCATACCAAGTCGCCTTGCTACTATCACTTCAACTATCACATGCACTCATTTCATTCTCTCATCAAAATGGCGACACGACCAAGATACAGCAGTATCAAGATATCATTTTAATTTCATATGCAGCTATATTTCTAGCTCTATTGGATGCATGTACATCACTGATTCCATCCACAAAAGTGAGCCAACGTGGTACATTTGCAATAATGAATGGCAATGCTTCTAGATATTCAACATTCAAGGCCCTACCGTGTAATAATACATTCAAATCCTTTTTATCAGAGTTACTCAGTCCAAAAGCAGTGATTCATTCCATGATACCATCTACGACGATTTTGTTATACGTCACTGTCTATCTTGAACTAATTACAGATGAGAATGAAAAGGATAGAAAATGGATACAGTATGTAACTTTCCTATCGTCTACAGTATGTATACACTTTTATCACATTCTTAAAATGAAGAAACGATCTAGAAAGAATCAGATGAATGGGACAAATATGAATATTCATTCTTCCAAGTCTACAATGAAACCTGATGAACGGAGTTGGGAACAGTGGTCGACAAATCAAGTTTTACAGTGGATATCTTGTATTTATACATCGGAAAATAGTAGTGTACATGCATCGAGACATTCGTCGAATATTAAATTAGGTGATGGTGATTTGGATGATATTCTGGACATTGTTTCAAGAGAAAGGATACATGGTGCGTGTCTACCAGCCTTGAATATGAATGATTTGCGAAGCTTTGGAATGTCCTATGGAGAAGCTATGGTATTACTTTGTGAAATTTCAGAGTTGATGCAACAATTTCCGCCGACAAAGGTGTATCATGCTACATCTGGGTATTCGATCAGAGGAGTAGAGAGTGCATCATCCAATCGTAACAGTCACGATGGTATCGATTTGGATGAATGGTTAGGGAGAAAGAATCTCAACAGTGAGCAACCTGCACCTCAACCAATGCTTCAAGTGCAAGCTCCACAATTTCCTCCTCAGCCACAAGTAAATACAGTTGGAAATTCTTCGAGCCAAGCAGGTACATCGAGTAATATTCACAAAGATTTGATCGAAATGAGATTAGCAGAAATAAAGGCAAAAAGTGGCATTTCCAATGACATTGAATCACCTGTACCACCACCTTCATCAACTTTACAAACACAGCAACCACCAATAGATATAAACAATATAGACCCAAAAATCCTGGAAACCATGCCTCCTGGAGTACGAGAGATTGCTAAGCGCAGACCTGATCTTGTTCAGGCATTGATACAAAACAAACAAGAACAAATGAAACACGATGCAAATAAACTTTCGCCTATTCGAGAAGAAAGTACTAATCAAGGTTTAGATGGTGTGATTGATCAAGATATGGATTCTATTGAAGCTATGGAATACCACGAAGATCATTTTGGTGAAGATGGAATGGATGAAGAATATGGTTTTGGGAGTGATGACTTTAATGATGAAATGGTAGGTCTTGTTAGGCGGCGTAGAAAGTAAATAAAGTACATTAAAATTTTGGGTTTAATTTGGATCTACTTGAAAAAATGCTTCTCCTTGTTGCGAAGATGAACATATGCCGTGCAGAATGGCTACTCTATAACTTTTGGATAAATAGAAAACAAAACAGTAGTTGATAACAAATGAAGAGTAAACTATATTTGGCATTGTGCATCTTGTTAATAAAAATTTTGAAAAAGTTGCCTGAACTCCGGATTGAACGAAGGACCTTCTCATTACGAATGAGATGCTCTACCACTAAGCTATACAGGCTTTCGTGAAAAATGGTCGAAAAATTAGTATATAAACAGTATGCATGTGTTTGATGGTGAATAATTTAGAGTTTACCATACTAAACAGAAAAGGTAAAAGTAAAATAAATAAATTATGATGATAGTGAATTGAATTATTCCTCGATTTATCCAAAAGAATGATTTCAGAGGTGTAGATTCTTATATTTATACATTCATCCCATACCTGTCCTGTAGCTAATCTTCAAAGATGAATGGAAAAGGTGCGCAGAATTATAGCTATATAATATATTATTATTATCTCAATTGAAAAGTGATGACTTGTTTTGTTTGTTGGATGAAAGGAATAATAACCTTTTAATTTATTCATAAAGTTTCACGAAACCATCCCACTGTCAATTGCATGAAAATCTATACTTTTGTCACATTTCTAGCCAATTTATTAGATGCCTCATCACTCTTCCACAAAAAAACGATATTTGAATGAAAGAAGAAGGAGATGTGTTATTGTTTATCAACACCATCACACAACTTCTACCTCACAAACGATACCAGTCTTTCAATTTCATACTTCCTTACATTAGACTACATAGGAAAAAGTCTAACGTAGAAGATTGGAGGAAGAAGGATAGATCAAAGAGAGACAAAGAGGAGGTGCAGTAAAACATCATCTCAACAAAAGACATGAAAGCCGCCAACACTGCAAAGACTGACAATAGAAACGGCAGCAAGAAGAGTAAAAGCAAAGGTCCACATAGAAAGCAAGCCAACAAGTCAAAGACCAAGAACTCGTGGGGCAGCTCAAATACATCTTCAAATCAGCATCAACGTAAACCTCTGCAGAATCTTGGAAACGAGTGGCCTTCCATCCAAGCAATGTCTCTTCCTACAGATGTAAAGTCGACAGAAAAGTCCATTAAAAGCGAAGGAAATGATGCAAGTAGTCACTCGAATATCAGCTCTGAGGCAGCTTTTCCAACACTTGCTGCATCTGCAAATACAGCTGCTCAAGTGCCAAGTACGAACTTGTCCTACAATCATAGACCGAATCAGTGGCGTAATCCACAGACACAGACAAATCAATCCTCCTATACAAGTTATAAACGACAATCTTCGTATGGTCAGTCGTATAGTAATCAATATTCAAGTAATCGTCGTCGTCATGGTGGTGCAAGTCATAAATATCATCAAATGTTTGATCCTGAACAATACATTCCCGATCCTGAACAACAAACAGTGTTGACCAACTCTCTTCAAAAGATATTGCATTCACATGGTGTATATGAAGATGATGCACAAAGTCAAAAACGATTAAAAGTGTTATCGCACTTGCAAGATCTTTTGCGACAATGGACGAACAATGATAATGAAATGGATCAAAGTATCAAAGTGATTTCCTTTGGAAGCTATCGTTTAGGTGTTCATGCACCAGATGCCGATATGGATTTGTTAGCTTTATGTCCATCTTCCATCAATGTGACCAAAGATGATTTCTTTTCATCATTTGTTGATTTACTAAAGAATGATGAAAGGTGTAGTAAGATTCATCCCGTTGCCAAAGCGTATACTCCAGTAGTGAAGTTTTATATTGATGAACTTCCAGTGGATTTACTTTTTGTAAAGCTTGTCCATGATGGCGAAGGATGGGATGATTCCTCGATGGTGGATTCTAGTGACAATGAATTTCAAATACAGGATGTCATGTTGAAAGGACTTGATGAGCCATCGAGTAGATCTTTGAATGGAGTTCGGGTAGCGCAATATTTGCTTAATGTCATTCCAAATCTTGCAAACTTTCGTTTGGTGCTTAAAACTGTCAAACAATGGGCACAAGTTCATGGTTTATATTCCAATGTGTTGGGGTTTCTGTAAGTTCCTCTCTTGATTTCTTTTTCTCTTTTTTAAACAAGTGAAAGACTAACAATTGATATCATTAGTGGTGGGGTGAATTGGGGTATTCTAGTAGCATGGGTATGCGTGCGACATCCAGAGGCATCTGTGCCAACATTACTCAAACTATTCTTTCACACATTTGCAAGATGGAGATGGCCGAAACCGGTCATTCTTACACCTATTGTCAAAAATCCTCCACCAGGAGTCACTCCTAAAACTGTTTGGAATCCTGCAGTAAATCCCAGAGATAGGGGACAACTTATGCCAATCATTACCCCATGCTATCCAAGTATGAATTCATCGTATAATGTAGGGAATCCACAATTGAGAAGGCTACGAGAAGAAATGCATAGGGCGGACAAGATTATGAATGAAATGCCTCATGGTAATGCAGATTGGTCTGATTTATTAAAGGTCAATAATTTCTTTTCGGATCATGCTCATTTTCTACAGATTCGGATATCTACTGAGAATCCAGATGATCATCAAGCTTGGTTTGGACTATGCGAATCTCGTCTTCGTATTTTAATTGCAGGTTTAGAATCTACTGAATATGGTACGGTTGCATATCCATTTACAAAGTTTTTCCAACGAAAAATGAATGATAATGTCAAAACAGAAGATTCTGGGGAAGATTCAATCTCAAATGGAGTTGTAACGTATAGCTTTATTGCGCTTAGATTTGCAGAAGGGATAGAGTCGGTTGACATCATTGGATGTACCAATGAATTCACATACATGGTGAACTCGTGGGAGGGGAGGAAAGCAGGAATGGATCTCAAAATTGATCATGTTTTGCAATCTGATTTGCCTTCGTTTGTGTTCGACGAAAGTATTGATAAGAATGATGAACAGGAGACATCGAAAATGGAGGGAGATAGCGTTGTAGATGGGCTCATGTCCCCATTTGAAAAGAAAACATCAATAAAAACATTACAGGGAAGAAGATCTGATGTTGACGAAAGCCTTGCTTCTCCTTTGAAGAGGCATAGACGTGCTTGAATGGGAACATCATAATGTTTACAAAAGTTTATCTTAATGCTATTGTGATCAAACTTGGACATGAAATAAAACAATCAGTGTGTTTTTTGGAAAAAAGGTGAACTGCATTTTATCTCATTCCTCCTCCCATTCCATGAGAGCCCATTTTGCCTTCAATTTCTCAACGTTAACATTCAACGAGTCCAGATCATCACCCGTAAGAGCTGATGCATGACCCAAAAGTGCTAACTCTACCAGTTCATTCTTTAAGCTAGGGTTGCGGGATACTCCAATAATTAGAGAGCCATAAATAACTCCAATTGCATCTAATGGATCGTTCTTAGCACTTCTCCCAAGTGCTCGTCTTTTATCTGTTGTTTGCAACACTTGCTGTGTACCTTCATCCTCCAAAATTCTTGCCTTTCCTTCAGCAAATCCTGTGTTGAATGAAAAGATGGTCAAGCAAGTGAGTACTGTATTAATGGAAGGGGAAATCTTCATTGATTTTGACAATATATCTGATATGATATGATATGATATGATTTAGTGCTGTAGAATGAATGTTGTACCCTAGAAACCAGATCCCTTGATTGAAAAGTTGTCACGAGTCACGTTAGACATCCATATTACTACAAATTTTTCAAAGTCATATGGGACTCATGTCAAGATTTGGGAGTTTTTGTGCGACAAAGCGTTTTTAGTTCCCTTGTTGTTCCCTTTCTTTTGAGTTCCCTTTTTTCTTTTGAAGCAGTACCACTGTAGTAAGTACCCATGAGAAAATGTACAAGTTGAGTTAACCTTTAATTATAAAAACCACACTGATAACACATGGTTTACAAAGAATCCTTCCTTTCGCTTTGGATAGGATCAGGAAGTAGTAGATCCTCATCTGACTCTTCATCGCTCACAGATTCACATTCTCCACCTTCTATTGGAGAAGATATGATAATATGTGATGATACAACAGTCTTTTCTCTCGATGGAACAGACAGCCGTGGAGGAAGCTCCAGTGTTTCTTCCTTTTCCTTTTCTTTATCTTCACTTTCTTTTAGAAAGCGAAATCCCGATGTTAGCAACGACGACTTTGATGAAGATTTGAATTTGAAAAGCTTTTCCAATTATGACGATGATATCTCTACGTCAAGTGCAGAAGGGACAGAGGAGCCACACGAGCAGTTAGTGCATCTCAGGCGAAAGCTTGAAGATTCCGAAAGACAGAAACAAGACCTTCTCAACCAATGCCTAAAGTTACAACGACGAGTATCAAGTCCAACCAGGAAGGATTCTGATCCTGTATATCTAACAATGCTGAAGAAAGATAATGATAAACTCAAAGCGGAGAAGTCAAGTATGGAGAACGAGTTCGCAAATGATGTAAAGCTTTTGCTGAACAGAATGAACGATATGGATATCGAACTCTCTAAGCGCGACAAAAAAATCGTCGATCTAGAAAATGAGTTACGAGTGTTAAGGGCAAGAAAAGAGTTCTCATAATTCATGTCAGATCTTTTTGAATTTGTATGTTCTATTTTTTATGATACTCGTATAATCGTATATATTAATGTATAATAAATATTTAAAATAATTATCCGGTACCTTTGGGATCTACTTTAATGAATGAAAGGTACTGTGTGGGAAAAGTTGAAAAGGAATTTGAACATTTACTTTGAATATATGAGCAGTATAGTATGTGATGCTTCTTTTACACTTGTTCTACGACTACACATTCTACCCATCCTATTCTATATATGAATGGTTCGGGTTCTCAAAATCCACCAATATATTAACGCTTGGGATTTTCCAATTTATTGTCTTTTCGAAGTTTAGATTCCTCGTATGCTCTCGATCCAAACCATTCGAAAATCATGCAAGATTTCAAATAAAGTGATGGATCTGTGTACCCTCCAAAGTATTTTGGAATGGAAGGCAAGTCTTTTTCGCTTGTAGGAGTCACAGTATTCGTAATCTCAACATCAGCTATGGCAATGCCTTCCTCGGTATCGTTGAGTTTAAAAAGAATTGTTCCATTTGCATCGCAAATTTTCGATTCACCTGGAAATTCTGTGTCAAATATATACGATGGTGCTAGTATTGTTGGACTATCTGATGACCATTTGCCAACTTTATTGGCATATAAAGCTGGACAAT